TCTTGTACAGTTCAAGCTAAAGCCATCTTACCAGACTGCCTAAGAGTCTGGTAGCCGTATTTTATAAATATGACTTTGCACATTATTTAAAAGAACACTGCTGATTGTTGCAAGATAACATGCAGACAAAATGCTTTGGATTTAATGCTTTATATTTGTTAACATGAACACAGGAATAACTATATGAAAACTTTCAGGTAGCAGTGCTTACTTGACACAAGCAAACAGGACATCAGTTGCCCTCATGACTAACATCCCTTTCCCTAATACACTGGCATAACTACATTAGAGAATGTCTGTTTAACTATAACATTATTCTTTGTTTTTAGGAGAGCCAAATTAATTCCAAAGGCAACACAATGAAATCACAGTTAAGAGGCCACTATCCCTTCTCAGAGAAGGACACGGAAGTTCCCAGATGTGACTTTTCCGGCCTATGTGCCTTCCTGCATTACCATCCATCCCGCAGGACACACAGCTCGGTGTCCTCCAGCGACGGAGACGGCGTCACGGTCAGGTGTTTCTCCGGYTCCCTGCCATTCCTCTGCGCTGCACGGACCTCCAGCACACGGTACCTGTTGTTCAAGCCCCTCTGAAGCACCGGCTCATAGCAGTCACTCACTTTACCCTGGAAACTGAAGCAACAACTCGTTAGCGCATGAGAGAAACCAGCCCATCGACGGGCAAGGGGATAACGAGCTCCAGGTGCGCACCCAACTCCACCTCCCTTCACCTTCCCAAGGGATACGTTAAATTTTAAAAAGGCGGAAGGGAGGACGCTTCTCTCTACTGTTTTCTCCCTCCTGTTATTCCTTCAGACAGCAGGGACSTGAGCAATATTTACACAGATATAAAGGGGCGCGAAGGGGACGCGGTAGGGAGGAACAGGCCAGCAGCACCGAGCGGGCCGCACACCGCGCTTTAAACTTCCACCCCGCCGCGCGCGAGAGCCGCCCCCGCCGGCCGGCACCTCTCCGCCATGACCAAAACCCCCGACCGCACGCAGCTCCCCGCGCAGCGCCTCAAGGAGCCCGCCACGGCCGCCGCGCAGGCGCACTGCCGCCGCCCCGCCCCTCGCCCCGCCCACCGCCCGCAGGCGGCCAATGGGAGCGGCCCGGGGGCGGGGCGGTGGCCGGCCGCGCTTCCCGCGCGCGGGTGGGATGAGGCGCGCGGCTCCCGCCCGCGGGGGGAGGGGCGGCGCCGTGAGGGAGCCCAACGGTCGCCTCGGCAGCGATGTCCGTTACGGCCGCAGCCGTCACTGCTGTCAACGCGGCGCTGCAGAGGCAGCACATAGAGAAAACAAAAAAAAAAAAAAAAAAAAAGATATGCCCTTCCTAACCACGTAATTTTGGTAAAGTCTCAGCCTGACAGTTCAAGAGTCCTGAGAAGAATTCGCCCTACGCTCGGTGCTGTTAGCTGGCAGCGCACGGAGTTGTCCTGAGGCGAAGCACAAGTTTACAGGTATAAAGATTTTATTTCTTCACTTTTTTTTTTTTTTTTTTTTTTTTTTTTTTTTTTTTTTTTTTTTTTTTGTAAAATCTTCTGGTTGTGAAAGCAGCACTTATAGTAAGGATTGAAGTCACTCAGTCCTTATCTGAGGGACAGTCCTTATCCTGGGGACACTCATATCTGTTTCCAAGAAATCCCTATCCCAGCTCCCACATTAAAGAATGTTTTTGTGGCCTTGTCCCTCTTTCATGTTGCCAATAGTCAGGGCATAGTAGCAGGCTTCAGTCTCACACTGACAAAAAAGGTAAGTTGGGTCCATGATTAGACCACCCTGCCAGGAAGCTTAGGTCCTAAATTTTGAAAGGTGGCTCCAAACTTCAGTGTGCTGTGCTGCCTTTCCTTGGGAAAATCCTGAAAGAGTAGACTACACTTGTGTCTTTCCATTGGGGAACCTCTATTATAAGCTTATTTGTAATTGAATGGCTGGGCATTTGTACTTTTATATATGCTGTCACATAACTTGGTATAAATTTAAAACACTACACAAATACTTTTACTCTATAAAATTGATAACTTATCATATTCAATAACCTATTTCATGTTTCCTGTACATTTACCTTACACTGAGGAGGAACATTTTAGAAGAACGTAGTTATGAAACTATAGAATACATCTTGTCTGCTTTAGATATATTTTTTTTCCAAAATAGTTACACCTCAAGCTTCTTTCAAGCATTGCAAAAAAAAAAAAAAAAAGTGAAATACAGAATTCAGGTTTGAACCTAAACTCATCAAAGGTGAGTTGAAAAACTTAGCTACAGAGATTTCAGGTTTGAACAAACTGTGTAATTTCATTAATTTAATCTCAAAGTCTTTTTCATGACAGGATAATGGAATGTGTTCTCTTCATTTCAGTGACAAATGAGACTTCACTAAGTAGTTTACAAGTTTTGAGTTTAATGTGCCTTGATTTCTCATGCCAGGTATTTAATCWGGGAAAATTATAATACAACTGGCTCTCCCTCAACAACTGATTGTGTAAGACATACTCATACACTGCTTGCACAGRTGACAAATTTATTCCTGAACACAAATCTGGGATTAAATTAGATAGTAAACTGTTAATGTGGCCATCAGAAAAGAAGTAGGAACTACKGTTTGTTAAACTATGAGGAAAAGAAATAGCCATGTGTAATCTAAAATTACACCTGCCAGTCATGTATCTGTGGGCTGCTACTACAAAGACTGAAGCAGAGATGCCTCGGCTAAAGAGACTTACTTGCTACTTGCACAAAATAAAAATATAGATAACAGCCAAGGACAGAGTTATCTAGTTTTATGCCCGTTTGAACTGAAATACAATTGTTTTGAGACGCAARCATGAAAGGTGTCAACTTGTTCCAAATATTAATAAACAGAATGACTGAAAGGTAAAGATCCAGTTTAAGAGCAGCTGAGCTGCAGAACTCCTGTTTGAGGGAACAAAGAAATAAAGATTATATTTCACAGATATTAAACAGAGCTTAACACACTGCTTTTGTCTGGAGTCCGATTTATTTTGCTATCTACCAGTTGAAAATAAGATAGATCCATTCAGTGTCCTAGAAACATGCAAGACAGACAAGAAAGGTTTAGAGGAGGAAAATCCATAGTGTAAATTGAAACAATTTTCAGAGGACTGTGCTGCAAAAAAAATACAGGGGATAATTAGGTCTCCATGTTTCTTTCTCCTGCTTGTAGCAGGCAGATATTTATAATACATTTAGTGTTTTAGCTGATTAAGACTAGCTAACCCTTTCAGAAAGGGTTTGAAACAGTTGCCCAAAGACTCAGAATGGAGGTTGTCTCCTCCAAACTAGCCACTGGACACAAGTGCAAAAATGTTTCTTTCACAAGTCTTTTTGAAGTAAAAAATATTTTTGATTTTTTAATTTGTTAATATGATTTTTCATTTTGTTTGAAAAAATAATGCTGAAAGTAGAGTACTGTTTCATCCATAGTTATACTTTTTACATTCAGTATCCTACCCAATTGCTTGGGAATTGGCAAGACAGTAATTTTGTTTGCATCTTAAAAAAATAGTAGTATAAATTGTTTTCACCATTGTTTTGTGTTCACCATTGGTTTTTTTTTTCTTCTTTTTCCTTTTGAGGTAGTAGATTTTTAATCTACTTTTAATGATAAACTTTCATAGTCATAGTAATTAATTTTCCTTCAAATAACACTAAGGATCAGACCAAGAGCTGAACTGTTCTCCTTYAATAAAAAACGACTATTTTATGCAAGTTTACCTCCACAGGAAAACATACAGATAATTCTAGAAGCATGCAACCCCCCATACAAACATACATACAAATCACACAAAGACATTAGTTTAAGATTTTTAATAAAATAAATTCAAGTAYATCTCAATCTCTGTCTGTAACTATATTGTTAAATATCAAAGAAATATATATTCTTATGAAACTGGAAAAAAAAGCCACAAAATCATTGAATATATAAATGAAAGTCCAGTTTGTCAAATTTATCAGAATTAAGCAAATTGATCTTACCAACCACCAATTCAGTTAACATGGCCATTACCAAATGTTAAAGGATACTGCTAAAATATTTACAATAAATAAATAACTTACATCACTTAATGCAAATGCTTTACAGTTTCCTGAATSAAAAATGAATAAAATCAAAAGTACCAATGCAAATCATGTATAAACAAATCTGGAAAGCAATTCCTTTACAAAAGAAATTGCAGAAGGAAACAAAAAAAGTATAATAGTCTATTGCATATCATATGTTAGAGACAGCACATATACACATCTACAGACTCCAATACAATCTTCTTTTTCTTTTTTTTTAAAGTTTTTCTTTTTGGCCAAGATGTTGACTACTATCCATATGCTCAAATTAAGTAAATGCAGCTGCATGCAGTAGCGTTTGTCACAATGTTTTAGGGATGGACAAACCTRTCTGTAGGATCCAGCAGTGCAAAGTATACAATCAATTCAGCTTTCAGGAACTGATTTGAGAATATCCAGCACAGCGGAAAAAGGTACATAAACACCTTGCAAGAGCAGGCTCGTGCTCTTAAACACTAATTGTGTTTGAGAAATTTAGCTAACTTGTTGTAAAACTAATAACTGCCCCAGTCCTGTTTTTAATTGTGTAGCTAGATGAAGATTCTTTAGTTTAGAGAGTGTGCAGAGAAACTTCCTAACTGAAAGACTGCTAACAACGTCAAGTACATCTCATTGTCATTATTTATTGAAATGGTTGAAGAGACCTTTGTATGTGCCCATGTGAGGATATATGCATTGTTCTTACAATACAGAAAACTTTTATAAAAAAAAAAAAAAAAAGAAAGAAAGTTAAAAAATGCTTAAGTTGTAGTCTACTGAATTTGGCTTCTACAAGGCTGGCAAATATTTTGATTTGAAAATCATTAAATATTATTCAAATCAATGTATTCAATTTACTTTTTAAAGAAGAACAGATGCTTAACTACTATCTTAAAAAGCAATATAACCATGAGTACAATTCCTGGAATGGTGATAATGGTGATAAAGCTAAATAACTAATAACTCGTAACCCATATAAAATATGGGCATAATTGTAAAACTGTATAATTCTAAATATTAATCTAAGGATGCTTAGAAGATCAAGTGCAAGAAAAAAGTTTATAGCTAACTACTATTCATGCTGATCTATCTCCTGGTTTGACTCCAGGAAATTAACCATGTTTTGGCAAATAAAACTAAGCTGTCAGACAACAGCAGTTCCACAGTAAGAGAGAGGTTTTTGAAAATTTCAAGTAATTGACTCACAAATATAGTTTGAAGATTGATAGTGTAGCTTTACAGTAAGATTTGAAAAATATTTTAGTTGAGGTGCAAGAATTGTTTCATAAGTTCATATGTGGTAAAAGCCACGGCCTGTGAAGGAATACAGCGAATATAATTTAGAGATAAACCACGGTACAATCCTCTTCTTATTCCATGTTGTTGATACACATATTTCAGCGTCTGCACCATTGTACTGGAAAAACAAAAATTCAATCCATTAGCTAATATACACATTCAATAGTCAAAATCTTCCCTTACTATGTTTGCTCCTTAAGAGAACTGTAGGAAAAGAGAGTAAAAAAGTAAAAAACCAAAAAAACTTCTGAGTAAAAAGCTCAATATTTCTAAGCTAATACAGACATTAGATTTTGAGACACATGCCTCAAAGTTTCAATATTTCTTGTTTTATCTTTCCTTCCTCTGAAGAAACATTTTTTTCCAGGAATGGCTCTCTCCACAGTTGCCACGAATTGTTTAATTAAGAAGCCTAATGTCTGTAAAGGAGTTCGTTCTCAGAAACACAGAAGTCCAAAAACAATTATCATATTTTTATTTTAAAAGAACCTGAGTGAAAAATAGTCAAACTAAAAATTGATGCTGCTCCTAAGAACACAATAGCAATGTTCACAGTAAACATTTTTTGAGTTTTTAAAAAAGATAACCAAGACTACCGTTAGTGGAATCAAATTTGTCATATGAGAGTTGACATTGAATCATTCCAGATTCAGAGAAACACAATTCCACAAAATTGAAGCAACTAAGATAAAGCTTTTGGGTATTGAGCTTGGTTGGAGCAATCTGATTTTTTTTTTTTTTTTTTTTTTTTTTTTTTTTTTTAAGATATAAAGGTAATTTAATACTTGGATTTTCTGTATTGTTAATGATTGTTCTTCCCCATCTACTAGACTAAAACAAACAGCTAAAAACCTAGAAGCACTAAATCTGGGCACCCCAACTACAATTTGTGTGGGTGACATTATTTGAAATATATTTAAAAAAAAAAAAGGTCAGATAATAGAATATTATACTGAACATATTCTGTACCATTAAAAAATATCTATAAAGTTTCAGAACAGCTCACTCCAGTAGAAGCAGGCTCCTCTCCTCTTAAAGATTGTATTATGAAAAATGACTGCAAATTCAGTTGAAATACAAACAAAAGTTTACTCAAAAAATCCAGCATCATCAAAAAGTGTCATTAACAGGGGGAGAAAGGGAAGAGAAACAGACAGACAGACAGAAAAACAAATAAACAAAAACCACTTACAGGCACTTGTCAGAGTCTGGGAGAACAGCTCCTAACTGCATTCGCCTACGAGTTACATCAAGTGGATATCTACAGAGGAGACATTTGAACAGCACTTCAACATGATGCACATAATGACCATATGAAAATTGTTAAAAATAAATAAATTGTCCATGTGAAACTTCTAAGCTCCCTTCTCAGTAAGCCAGGAACACAGGTCAGATTCTCAAGACAGCTGAAAGTTCTCCAAAATTGGATACTTTCCCTACAGAATCAAAACCAGATCAGATCTCTTCATATAAACAAGTAGACACATGAAGATCAAATGAAAATATAAAACACTGTTTAAAATGCTGGAGAGACAAGATAGCTGAATTAAGAATAAAATGATCAGTTTAAGGATTAATAAAAAAGGTATTTRTAATATTTGTAATGAAGTGATTTAGTGTAAAAATATGATGCCAAATGAATCCAAATTAATTTATGGTGAAAACCAAAATGCAACAAGGAYTGCACGTGACTGGAGAGAGCAGACAAAGTAAAAGTAAACAAATGCCAAATACAATATATTAAACACTTATTTTTATATTCCATGACTTTTAAAAGTTCAATTGGAATAATAAAATTCTGCAAATTATACTTATGAGACAAATCTTGCAGTTTAACAAGGAATATTCCAAGTGTTTTAGTAGAGGTTTTGTCTGAATTTGTTTAATTATACCTTCAAAGCCTCTGAAGATTAACTAATGTATGTAGTACATGAAAGACAATAAAATGAGCTCTAGTGTCAGATTAACTGCGTTAAAGCTAGACTTGCAAAATACCTTACTCAGATAACAGTTTTTTATAATGAACAGCTAGATAGAGAAGAAAAGCCACACTCCAAACTTACGATATCGTCTGAGCTATCGCTCCAGCTATGCCACCACACAGCAGATTCACATGTGTTTTCAAAACTAAGACATCAGGATTATCTAACGAAGGCCGTCCAAGCATGTTAGGTGCTTGAGCAAGTCCAATGCTCTTTAAGGTACCAAAAGTAAAAAATGAAAAACCTAAAAGGAAATTTAATTTTATAGACTTTCACAAATAAAAAAAAACCCCTTCTTGACACATCATAACAAACACAAAGCTGCATTTACAAAATGAAGTTATTTTCCAATTCTACTAGATAAAAATCAGAACAGTCATACAATGCCTTGAAATTCTATAGTAACTTCTGTACAAAGGAATTGCTATTCATATTTAATGTTAAAAGAACTCTTCAAATAAGCTAGACTTTTTTTTTTTTTACATCACTGAATTGCTGTTAAGAGCATCTGCTAAGATCTATTTTAACTCAAGGAATCAGTAAAACATTTATTGTCYTTTGACAAAGACAGTAGTTAGGGTAGGCAGTTTTGTAGACTGATGCTTCTTCATCCTCTGTCAGCAACCTCTTCAGTTTAATTAAGTACACAGAAGCAACCAGGAGATGGAGCCAAATGGAGGGTCCAGTCTCCATCTACAGAGGACTCAGCCTCTTACAGCTTTATCTGAGAGAAGGACCCTATCATTGGGGGAAAAAAGGGGAAGAAGAACCACAGAGGAAGAACCACCAGTTCTCTCCCCTTTCCTTTCCGAGGCTTCAACCCCCATAAAAAAAAAAAAAAAACACCCACAGATTTTCCTACCATGCTTTAACACCCATTGATCATTTCTAGAGTAAGACTGATGAGTTGCAAATGTTTCTTTGTGGCATTCCCCTCTGCTCAGAGGGAATCCTTCCTTTTAACAGAAACCTTAGTGTGCAAAAGTACTATGCAAGGTTAGTAACGCGCAGAGCTGCCAAGGGATCGGCACGCTCTGCTCTTTGCTTACCCGCATATGGAGCCATTCCTACAACAGTTGGCATCAGACCTTTGTAGAACCCCGGAAAACCACCTTCCTTTGAAAGAAAAATACAAGCAAATTTGTGGCAAGAAATATAGCAAATGTCTAAAAAAAAAAAAAAAAAAAAAAAAAAAAAAAATCTGTTCACACAACAGCAATCTGACTAACATCATCTAGCAACAAGAAGCCACAAGTCAAGTTGAACTTCTTGTGCCTGAAGAACTGAGGGGAGGAATGCTTGGCTCCAAAGGAGATCAAGAAGGGCGAAAAAATGAAAAAGATTTAAAAAAACAAAGCAACAACAAAAAAATGCTACATCCAACAACAGAAGCTAGAAGATGTTTCTGAATTACGCACATCCCTCCTCCCCATATTTCTTGGTGTCAATACTATTTTTTTCTTGAAAATCTACTTTTTTTTTTTTTCCTCTGCTGTTTGTCTTTACTTCTACCTGTCTGAGCTATTTCTTAACAGTAAAGCATCCAGGTAATTTTTTTTTTTTATATTAAAGAGTCCAGTGCACACACGAGTCCATGTGTGAATTTGCTATCAAGTCACTATTTTCAATGTTGTGCAAATTATTTAAAGAGCACATTTTGCTTTGACATGACTGAAGATTAAAAAAAAAATACCTTTGTGTATATCATCTTGAATGCATGGATAATTCCCATGTACTTGTGTTCCCCTTTTACTTGGAACGCCAGACGAACTCTAACCATATCAAGAGGGTAAGTACAAATCACTGCTGTAATACCTTTATTAAAAACAAAAACAAAACAAGCAAACAAAACTCACCTAACACCTTATCTGGTTCTAGGATTATTTTGAAAAACAGAATTTCCTTTTGCGGCAGTTTATATAACAACGTACACAGATTATTTTGTTAACATTAAAAATCACTAATAACCAGCACACAGGAACTCCAGCTGCAGCAACATGCAAAGAACTTACTTTTATACCTGGCATATGCTGAAGCTGCATACCTAAACCTTGATTCTCCAAATACTTATAAGCCTAATTCCATTCATCTAATTCCATTCATATGAGCAATCATCTTAAGTTTATGGCTGACAAGCATCAGATCCATCAAATGCTTCAGTGTTTTCTGAACTGCGTTCATAAAACCTAAAACCTATCATATCTAAAAAGTCAAATCACCACATTTATATGGTTAATTCCAAACAGTTGTGTCAGAATTTAAATACTTGATTACTGGATATGGCTACATGTATATATCTACTGAACTGGAAGATACCAAATCACAGAATCATAGAATCATAGAATCATAGAATGATTAAGGTTGGAAGGGACCTCAGAGGTCATATACTGTGATGATATGGAAGATTAAGTCAAAATTGTACTAATGAAGAGTACTGAGTTTAAACAAGCCCCAGACTGTCAAATTTCACGCTTTAAATCTGAATCATAAAGATATATAATCAGAATGAGATTCTGCAACTCAAATATACATGTGGTTTCATATGAAGCCATTGTTGTCCAATATATTCTGTATACTGCTAAGGGCCTCCCCCAAAAAATAGCAAGAAAAGAAGAAAAAGGGGAAACAAATCAGCTCCAGGAAAGTTCTTTGCAACTTGTATGTTTGGAAGAAACAAACAAACCATAAGCCTAATGATCAAGACAAAACACCAGGATTAAAYGGGGAAATAATTTATAGCATGATCAAGCTATCAAAAAAAGACATTAGTCATCTGTCAATTAAGAGTAAAGATTGGTGCCTTCTGGAATATCCTACCAGTAACTTAGTTTAGAAGAGAAAAACACCCCTCTCAGAGGTTCTCRACTATGTCTCTTAAAAGTAGACACCTACAATTCATTTCTGATGCAATTTCACCCATAGCATTCTGAGGTTAAAARCTGCAAAATACCTAAGCAATTTTAGGACTGTTTCCACTGAACTACATTATTAAATACAATCTCCTTCTGCAGCCTTTTCCTAACCAATTGCCTAAGATATTCAGAAATCTGAAATGCCCAAGATGCACAAAAACTGCAATATGGGTTAATTCAAGCAGTTTTAAAAAACAAGCTGTGGGAGCTTTTACAGTACTCATGGGAAAATCACCCTAATTCAGAAAATGAGCAGCTTTACGCCTGCTCTTAACAATCATACACTGGTAAATATCTGGGAACACTTTCTGAAAAAAGACTAGCAAACAGGCCAACCAAGAGTTTGGTGACTGTACTAAAACAGCCAACACTAAGCCGCAAAAGAGCACTTCGAGTTAAGACCAGGGAAATGAAAAGATAAGGCATAAATAAATAAATAAATAAATAAAATCCTCTAGAGCAAAATGTACCCTGTGAGGGATGAAGATTTCCTGTGAGCTCAGAAGGAACAGTTTCCTTTGGGAGGAACAGAGGGCAGCTTTTTGACAGTGAAAGTCGGTGGGATAGCCTACGAAAACACCGGTTTCAATTCAGCTCCCTAAATATTAGACTTGTCAGTGTCCAGACATCTTAAGACTGATCTTTTGTCTTGAGAGAGCAAAATCTTTCTCAAYTAACTCGAGTTAAATTGGAGTTCAGTTAACTGGAGCTGAGCCAAAAATCTTTCCCATGGCTGGATAAACGTGACAGAATTGAAAATCTATTCCCATCTAACAGACRTATACTGCCATTTCCAGTGTCTCATCTGAAAGAACAGGACAATGTTGTGAAGGCTGTTTGTTTGTTATTTTCCTCTCTCAAATGAATTACATTTCTATTAAGAACTGCTAATAAGCAGGGGTTTTTGTTTTTGTTGTTGTTTTTTCCCCCTGCAAATGCAGACTCATATGTCTTTGGCACATTGAAGTCAGGAAAAGATAGTTTTTCACTTGTCATGATTTCCTCGAACCCCTCTGATAACTTCAAGAGAAAAGATACCAGTTTACACAGACGAAGTGTAAATGAAGCATAGCAAGAATTATCAGTACATCTTCAAYTGCTACCCAAGCTTGGGGAGTTATTGGCGAGACTGGCTGCTTGGGCATTTGTCTTGTCTCCCAGTTTCCCCCACTACTCTTTCATTCTTTGTCATCATCTTTCTTTGACAACAGAAAATAAACAATTTCTACAGCAAGAGAAGTAATTTCTGTGTCTGCTTAAATTAAAGCTTAAGAGTGTCTGCAAGAGAAGTAATTTCTGTGTCTGCTTAAATTACTGCTTAAGAGTGTCTGCTTAAATTAAAAAAAAAAAAATCACAAACCATAGCTGATGATTAAATAAACAAATAAAAATCGGGCTTGAAAATCTACAAGTCTTACTTCTAGACCTGTGAAACAGAGTTATATTTATTTCTAAATTGCACCTAGAGAAATAAGCAGCACGGATTATTTTATATTCTTACCCAATTAGATAACAGCATTAATTAGGTTTTATTTAAAAATAAGACAGAAGTATCTTCATAAATCCATATTATTTTCAAATTATTCATTTATTTATTTTAAGCAATGCCTTGCCTACTTTTTTTTCACACAATCTAAGTTTGTTCTGATAATTTCTACTTTTCTTTTGGTAGCTGCTTTTGAGTTCATTAAGTGCAGACAAAGAAATACATGTTTCTGTGTGTTAACTTTTTTTTTCCCCTCAGTAACATCAACAATATCAATTCCTGTAAGGAATATTATATACAGGTTTTGTTTGATCGTTTGGTTTCCTACACCACAGTAATATCTATGATTTTCTTCCTTTTTCCTCAGTTGTCTTTTCTAAAAGGACATTATAAGGCACTTATCCGTTAACGAGGTGTTACAGCTGAAATTTGAATCACACAAGGCTCAGGAAATTCAGAGTTAAAGTTTCCACAGTAACTTTAACTTGGCCTCCTAAATATATGCATTACAATAGGTTTTTCTTTTCTCTCACTGCACTGCCCCCAACCTCACTACTTTTCTCTTCACTGTGGATATGCCTTTGATCTTGTTTATCTGCTACAGAARATATTCAAAAGTTTCCCACTATTTYGAAGCTGAATCAGATCTGTTGGCTGTTGGCAATGTTGGAAACTCCAGCATAAGCAGGATATAAGTGTCAACAGCACACACTGAAGGGAATGCAGATGGCTGGATGACARAGAGGAGACAAAAGGAAAACGGAAACAAGGGCTACCCATCTTCATCTGTGTAATATGAGGCTCAAGAAACTGGGAGGACTTCTCCACCAACACAGGGTTCATGTCTCCTGCAGCTACTTACATATGGAAGCAACAGCAGAGTATCCCTTGGTGGAGCCAGWAAGATACTAAGCTAGAGGAGCTATTGCTAGAATATTAACAGTTGCTCTGAGGGTCTTTTCTCATATTTGCAATTTGAGAGACTCTCATATTCCAAATTCTATGGTCTTGCTGCCTCCTTCCTCTTACTTACTATCCTCAATACAAAATCTTCTCTTTTACTATTTATCTAATTAAGCCTCAAAAAGCAGTTAACATCACCTAGGAAACATGCATTAAGATTCCAAAATTATATACTATTAATACAGTTGTGATAGTCATTTCACCGCACACTTAAGTCTAGCTTATGGACTTAAGTTTTGGGGTTCTCCACACCAGAAACTTCCTTTGCATTGTACCTAAATACTCTACACTAAGCATTGCAGTTGATTATGATTTCCAGATACTACGAAATATTGAATTTATTTCTATTACACTAACTACGTGGAAGACTTAATCAGTAAGTTACCCCAAAATGATGGTAAATTTCAGAAGAGGCTACATAGTAATAGTCATGTTGTAACTATATAAGGACTGCCATTAGATACTATTAAGCCAGTTGTAAATGGTTAAGAATAAATGACACGCACAAAGAACCTCTGATTAAAACTCAGTCCACTAATACTTACTTCTCTTATTTTCCCTTAGCTACTTTTGGCAGAGTAACTGGCAAGAAGAAAATAGGTATGTACAATCGTATTTCATACTGACAGTTTATAAGTAGTTTATTCTATTGCCACTTTGCTAACTGASATACGATTTTCACATGCATGCTTTACAAAATATCATGAGAGTCTTATTCTGYATGCTTTAAGTCTAGACATATCAGGGAAATCCAAAGAAATCACCATTTAAGCACCTACAGTTCTCCATTTCTCTGGGCTTCATTCAACTTGGTTGGAATGGCGAACAGGCTGATGAGTTAATCCCYCTAAAACTCATTTTTTATGTTTTATCTTAATGACCTTGTATTTTTCTTTTTTTTTTTTTCTTTTAAATCATAAAAAACACTGTAGTAAATATGCTTAACAATATAACATGGAATTCAATSTTTGAAATTCTCTAAGGAATGCTTTTAACATAAACTGTTTCCAGTTAAGCAAGTAATCAGTATTTTAAAACATTTACTAGCATTTTTTTCCTTAACACAAGCTTACAGCACAGTTTGACCTGAAAACACATTAAATCATCTTCTAAAAACACATCAGCCTTTCAGCAAAAGAATGTCTGAAATGCAAGCACAGAACACTACCTGCCATAGATCCAGCCATTAATTGATGTACATGTCCTGAAATCCCAAGTTGCTTCTTTATTACCTACAAAATACCAAACATTACAATTTATATTTACAACAGACATATATCAGAAAATACAGGGAAGTATATGATACTTTCCTAGAATGTTGATGCTAACTGCATAGCTGTTTCTAAGAAGTTTACAACACTACAAATTTCAAAACACTACACYTAATTACTCAGAAAAGAATTTCCTGAAAATTTGTTAACAGCAACTTATTAGCAACACTAAAGTACTAAAAAATGCTATTAACAAGACAAAATAACCAATTGAAAGCWTTAGTACTATTTACTTAAGAAGCCAGATTAATTATTTATTTAGTTATCTTTAATGTGCGTCAAACAAGGCAAACTGAATACTATCCTTCTTGCATGACAGAGAGCAAAGGACATGGAGCAAAGTTGAAAAGTGGCTTGAAACTGAGAAAGTGAAATTATCTTCCCATACATAGAGTATGAAACTTATTCCTATAAAGATATCTTTAGAACCACATGATTAGCCAGATTTAAAAAAAAAAAAAAAGAAAAGAAAAAAAAAAGCAGGAAATCGTGCACTAGACTATTGGATATTCAATAAATTTTCAAATCCTGGAAGGAAATTAGAAGTTCCAGACTTATAGCAAATAACTGAGAAGTTTTAAGAAGTAATTTCTGCCCTAAAGAAGAGAATTTCTTCTGAAACTTACTCTTCCATAAAGGATTGCAATTTGAGTCCCACTGTGTTCAGTAAATACCAAGCAATTTACTTCAATGGGAACGAAATTTGACCTTTCAGGCAACAAACTCCTCATTGCTAAAAGTAAGAGTATATTTTTGATCTTGTACAAACAATGCTTGAAAACATGGCCAGGCTAATGCCTGACCCCTGAATGATTTTGCATGCATGTATTTTGAATTTACTATGAAAGTAAATTCTTAAGAGCAAAAAGAACGAGACCTTGAAATATGCACGCCTTTTTTATCTACAAGGTAACATGATCATCTGAAACGTCAAATATGTGCAGCTAACAGGGCACAGAAATTTCACTGTTTTGGTAATTTAAAGAAGTTGGATTAATTGAAGCCAGAAAAAAAAAAAAAGTAAAAATAAGTTATACTACCTTTTTATACTGGTCAAATGCCATAAACTGAATTGCACCATACGGGAAGATTCTAATCATCATTGCCCCGTTTCCTTTATATAGCCCAAGGTATCCCTCCTTTTTTGGGACGGCACACAACGTAGAAAACACTCCTGTCACCAATACAAAAAGAGATATTAACAGTCACAATAAGTATCAAGCAAGTATTATTGACAGTAGAACAGTAGGAACTTGAGGCCTGATCACATTGCTCATGTAACTATGGAGGCTGGAAAATTCTACTTCCAATGAAGAGAAGRAGGTTTAAGGTTATCAGCTTTCTCACCTTCCAGATTCTTGAAGCTCCTTATGAGCTCGTGTATTTCAGCCCCTAGCATGCAAGGAGACCTACTGCAGATGACACTACCTACCCACAAACGTTAACATTGGCAACAGAAGGAAAGGAACTCACTGACTTGCATTCCAGGCAATTAAGTTTTTTTTTTTTTTTTTTAAATCTCGAATCACAACAAAACAATCTATTATTGCTACATGCTTAATTAGAGGTTAAATGCCCCCATTAATAAAGTAAATACATTTTAGACTCTCATTACTTATGACCTTACGCTTTCTATTGCAGAGATATTTTGCAAGAAGCAGCAACACTATTCCATTTCAACAGGTGGAAAATGGTGCAAAACCACACAAAGTTTGAGCAAATCTCCAGCCTTATTACAAATACATTGCAAGGAATACACAGTTCTTATTAAATTTTCAAATCACTTTTTTTTTTTTAAATTGTGAAATCATGCATCACAGCTCTTTAATTAAAACACTTAAATAGTTTCCACACTCAAATGCAACTATTTAATCAATGATATAGGAGCTGAATCTGAAAAAGCAATTTTTATTTCTTAGAATACGTGGTCTGAGGTCCATGTGTCAGGAATTCTACAGAGCAAGGGCACTAAGAGGACTCTGTGAGGAATCTGATGAGCTAAACTACTATTGTCCCTCTGAACTTGTAGGTGAAGTAGGTGAACTTGTAGGTGGAGTATGCCACCTACAACATCTTTTTGCCTACATCTAACAGAAATATGCTTTCAAGTCAGACTAATTTCTCATAATCAGAATCATAGCTCACACCTTAGAGAGGAACATAATACTTTGTCAATTACAGCACAATACAAAGCAAACAAAATCCAGGGATATATAATAGCAGTCGGAACTATTATTTCAGCCTCCAGCTGTTAGACCACAAGATTTGAATACATGCTTAGTTAAGTGTGGTGCTGAGCTGCCAAGGGCTTTGCCCTTCTCTTTTTTTGGGACAGTGAAACGAATATACATCACTTGAGTTTTGCTTTAAAAATTTAATTCTACACCCTAAATTGCTTTATAAATGATCTTTAATTTCTATGTTCAAAATCTCAAATTTCTAAATTAAAAAGCTCTTAAAGATCATTCAAAATAGCGTTTTTGAGAACTGTAATTCACTTGAACTTTTGAATATAAATTGTGACATGTTTTTAAAATGTGACATAGAATATTTCAAATATTATGCACAAGGCGGCGCTATGACAATCACACAGGAAATGCTTTGGAATACGCTGGCAATTAAGGGCTTATTTTCCCACCAGGATGTGACCCGTACCAAGGCCAAACCCAGCTCATCTGCACCTTACACTGCGCACCAATGCAGCTTTACTGTCAATTGTCATCAATCACGCTGCTATCTGTGAAYGCGAGCGCAGCGAGTTGTCCAGGGCTCGGCTGTCACTGCTCTTGCGACCGCCAGCCCCTCTGGGAGGGCTACCAACTCCGAAGAGTCCGACTGCCACAACTGCTGGAAACTGCATTGAGCACAGCAGTAATACAGACAGCAATAGAGCAACACAGACACTAACAGAGTGACTGGCATGAGGATTTTTATATAAACAACCCAAGACTCAAGCCTGTGATTACCAGGGTGCTGACTTCACTAAGAGGGGGATCATGTCCTAGCTYTTATGCTTTGCTGAGGATTATTCTCACATCTCAATTTCTGACCCATCAGTACAGGAATTTACTGGTACAGGCTTGATGCATTTTATGCAGGGTGGTTTTTGTTTTGTGTTTTTAYGCTCACAAAGCATGGCACAGAGCCCAGCGCGCTGGCCAGCCAGAAAACAACCTCATCAGGACCTTTCTCTAGGCAGTCCCTTTGCTGAGCAAACCCACATCCCTAAATGACAAACATTACATTCCAAAACTAAAGCGATGCACGCAGCAGCCATCTTACCTAGATGTTTGTAATGGTGGTTATGAGCTTGCAGCAAAATCTTGACTCGGTCCAGGGGTGCAATAGTTGTTTTGGCACAGCACCCTGCAATGCCTTTCCAAGAATAAAAACGTAAAAACTCTTAGATGATAACAGATAAATGAAGGAATTTTCCAGCGGACTTTTAGGTGGGACAGGTGCGAAGGAACATCAGTAAGGAGTAGGTATGGCTGATATTTGGAGTAGGGTACAGGCCCCTAAAGCGCTAACGAAAGGCGCTCTTTCTGAACTGCCTTTAGGCGGTTTCCCAACCGAGAAGCCCTGCGCCACCGCGGCGACGGCCAGGCTCTCTCGAGAGCCGCCTGCATCTCCCCCCACGCCTCCTCCTCTCCCCGCGAGGCCGGCGCCCGCCGCAACACCGTGTCTCTCGGGCCGGGCCGGGCCGG